TGGATTGCTTCTGGTAAATAATTAGAAAATTTGTCTATATATACAGGATGTCCCACCAAAAGTGGCCACTCCCTTTTATCTTTTAAATGAAAGGAGATAGACCATAACAAATATATATCACATATAATATATATATATGGCTCTGTTAGATTTCTTAAGTAACTTATTTAAATCCTTTCACAATATGAATATCTTAAAGTAGATATGATATACGTTCGAACAGCAGTATAGCTGGAGAAGCTATCATAATTATTTGTGTGCAAGGATATTGGCGTGAATTTTGAATTATTAAAATTTGACTATAGTTAATAACAGACAAAAAATACAAATGTTTGAACGCATTTTATTTAACTACAGATTTTTTACTTTCTGCTGTTAAGTTAATAAAAAAATGAGGTGTATTAATTAAATTTCGGTGGGGTTTTGACCACCCCCCCCCCATGGGTGCGCTACTGCATATATATTATTGTATCGGACTATATCTTTAATGGGTTTTTCAAATTATCTCTAATATCGGTTCTTTTTCTAACATAATTAAATTGCTTTCATAATTTTTGGAAAGGTTTCCTTGAAAAAGTTTAAGTAAAACACGATTTTATTTATATTTTTACTTTCTTTAATGTCAGTAAAGATTAAAAAATTCACAGATAAACGAATTATAATTCGTCAATAACTCTATTACTTTAAAACGTAGACATTCAGATAAAATGAGATTATCGGACATTAATAATAAGCAAACAAATAACAGTCTAAGTATATACTTGATGGACAAGAAAAAAGAAAAAGATACAATATGTGTAAGGATGTAAATGCAAAAAAAATGCACGACTGTTTTTTATTAGCAAGGCAATGAAAACATAACGGATATTCGTGCGCGTGCAATTGTATCGATTATTTGATGAAAGAGTTAAGCCGCGGGGTTAAAAATAGCGAAAATAAAACTTATTTAAGATAGAATGAGAAAGAAGTGAAATGATGAGATTTTAGAAAGTGATTTAGAGATAAACGATGTTATATATATAAGAAATCGACAGTATAATTATAAAGAAATGTTTGTTGGTGGTAATCAATTATTTTTTTCTACCGATTATTTTAGTTTAAAAATATCAAAGAAACAATTTAAAAAAATCTCGAATATCGATTAATCGGTACAAAATATTGCTTATTCTTAGAGCAAGCATAAGCTAAATTTAAAAATGAGATGAGACTGCTATGGGGAATAAACGTATGAGAGAAATACTAAAAAGGAGAAGCTTGATGCTGGTAGAAGTACGGGAGTTTTATGCCGGAAGGCGCAAACGAAAAGAGCAGAAGGACATTTTCCTTAAAAAACATATCGAGCCGGTTTGAGGTTGTCAATAGAAAATCAAGAAAATGTACGTGTGAAAATGATTTTGTGTGCAGCAATTGCGTCGATATATGAAAAGCGGAAAGAGTAGGAATCCTTTAGAGCAGTGCTCGGAATTACTTCAGCCGATTCTTACGACACACGCCTCCTTTGGGGCGTTCTTTGAGGCAATGTTGGGATCTTCTCTTTTGATCATAAAAAATTTTAAAAATTTATTACAATTATTTTTTTTATTTTTAATATTATTATGTGAAAATATTTCAATAGATTTCCACGTCACCCATGAAGTACTATTGCTATTGAGGAAAACAATATTTTTAATAATTTTTTTAACATTAATCGGATAGCACCGCTCCTAACGCTCGGCGGCGCTGGCTCAAGCGGCTGCGGCGCGCGTGGTAAGGAGAGAAAAGGAGGCGTGTGCCGCGAGAATCAGCTGAAAAGCTGAAATAATTCCGAGCACTGGTTTAGAGCAGTGCTCAGAATTAGATGCACATTTCAAGCCGATTCTCGAGACGATGCCTCTTATCCTCCCACTACCGCTCGAGACTTGACGGCTCGAGCGGTAGTGGGAGGATAGGAGGCGTCGTCTCGGGAATCGACTCAAAATGTGCATCTAATAGCGTTTTCGATTGAACGGATTTTGATCGATCCAGGATTGATTAATGACGTCATTGCATCATCTCCGCCAATAAAAGACTTGAATTCATAGTAAAATAGTAATTAATTGATCCGCCATGGATCAAAATCCGTTTAATCGGAAACGCTATAATTCCGAGCACTAGAGGAATGATGAATTGTGAATAGAGCAAGGAGGCTGTCGATTAGAACATGACCGAGCATACTGGTCAGAACAATTGGTACCATTAAGATATATAAAGACTACTCAAAAACTCATTAGACGTTATTTTAATCAAGCTTCAAATTCTATTCTATTAAAATAATATTTTAATTATTCTAACATTATAATCTTATTAGATTTTTTAAATTTTTTAATTGTAAATTATTTTTTATTAATTATTATTAATTATTATTTATAATAAATTATTTTTCGATTCTAAATTAGTCGAAAATTATTGATAAAACTTGATTATAGGATCAAGATAATTTGAAAATCCATCCCAAACAAAAGACAATATAGACAGAGAGTTAATGAATAACGCAAATTTTAGGAGTTGTAGAAAGAGATGAGATAAACATTTCTTTATCAAACAATTCAAAGAAATAAAAAAAGTGAGGCGGCCTTGAAACAATGAACTCTATATTATACTGGACCTTACTTAAATAGAACTCAGACCGGGGCATGAGAGATAGAAAACAAGTACCAGTCTGTTTTTTTCTAATGCTGTACTATTCAAGTTGAAAACATCAAATTATAGAAGTTGTGTTTATAACCTCTTTAAATCTATACATCAAGAACTATCATATTGTAAATTTTCAGAAAATTTATTTATTTATAAATATATTTTGTTATTAAAATTGAAAAATGTGGAGCTCAAAATAAAGCGTATCCTCGTTATGAATTTGTTGAGAGGGGTGGAGGTATTAGGAGAAATTAAATCCCATCTTTTAGAAATGCTTTCGATAGCTAATTCTATGGGGATGTTAGTAAACATGGATACTACATCTAATGATATTATTTTAAATTTATCTTTAATCTCCACAATAAAAAAATTGACAACAATTTAATAGCAGCTAACTCTAACATTGACTCTGACAAGAATGACTCGAGGACCTTTTTAACTATTCCCTACATCTCATCTATATACAAAGACTTTAATTCCATTGCCAGAACCTCCAATTTTAAATTAGCCTGTTCAATCCCGAACAATTTAAAATGCTTTATAAAAACAGGCAAAGATAGTTTAAACAACCTTTCACATTGCCAAGTAGTTTATATGATTCCGTGTCGTGATTGCAATATGACTTACGTTGGACAGACTGAAAGACAACATAACACCAGAATGAAAGAACATAAGAATGACATTAATAAAAAGAGCTGTTCTCCTTCAGTCATATCTAAACATAGAATGTATTCCTACCACGACTTTGATTGGGATAAAGTAAAGATTTTAGATGGTGAACCCTCTTATTCGAAAAGATTGATCTCAGAAATGGTATTTATTAAAAGACAAAATGCAGGCCTTAACAATCAAAACGACACGGATCATTTACCTGATGCCTATCTCCCTATTAATTTATTTCCTCCTTTATAAAATACTTTCCCTTCCTTTTCCTCTATCTACTTCTTTTACCCCCAACCTTCTTTTTTCCCCTACTTACTCCTTTTCCCTCTCCCCCTCCCTCCTCCTTTCCTACCTTTATTTTAAATTTCAGAATTTCTCTATTAAATTACAATCACTAAGATCTCAACGCTCAATATGTAAAGACTATTTGTTCTTCACTTTTCCACCTCGTTCCTTCTACGTGGACGAGTACTTTACCATCATGAAATTAATACAAGTATGTATATAACATTTCTCAATCTTCGGTCCATTTATTTTTATTTAATTTGAACTCTTATTGTATTTTATTGCATTTATTGCAGTCTTAACTATTTTATTACCGAACAACAATTTGGTTGAAAAGGATTATTAATACGTCTTCCACATCTTTTACTTTATGTAATTATTGCGAGCGAACTTTACTTTTTATTAATGTACACTGAAGAAGACCTGATGTCAGGCAGAAACGTTTGATGTAAACAATTTTAAACGAATTTATTTTAACCTTCGCACAAAGAAGCATTGTGGCTCTTTACGCTCCTACTGATTTTATTTGACTTAGTATACAAAATTCTTAAATGTATGTTTTTGCGCAATTTTTAAAATAGTAAAATAAAATAATTTTAAACTTATAATTTATTATGTGAAAGTTATGAACATAGTTTAATAATTATAAATAGGAGCGGTTAAATAATTATAAATCAACAAGTATGCATTTCTTCAACGTTTATACTTTTAACGTTTGCATGTTTAAAAATTATGTCAAAGACGAATCCAAGTTCCGAGTTTATGAAGGCTCCGGCGCCGAGAATGAAAGGATTTTAACGATGCAAAATGACATTCGATTATTCATCGATTCAACAATGACGTTGGCCAGAATATTAACGACTGACTGACTACGTGCAAAAGCAAAGAACTCAATTTTACACTATTGTTTTTTTTCGTTCTACGAATTAGCAAAGGTGAAGTAGAGTAGAAGAGTAGATTGCTACGAGCTCGCGTGTATGCGAGTGTATGTGTTTCGCATCAATATATGATAGGACGATAGAGAAAAATAGGGAGTGTAGGAGGAAGAAAAGAAAAAGATGTGTGTGAGGGAAGGAGGAGAGGGAAGGGAAAGGGAGGGGGGGGAGAGAGAGAGAGAGAGAGAGAGAGAGAGAGAGAGAGAGAGAGAGAGAGAGAGAGAGAGAGAGAGAGAGAGAGAGAGAGAGAGAGAGAGAGAGAGAGAGAGAGAGAGAGAGAGAGAGAGAGAGAGAGAGAGAGAGAGAGATGAACGCGAGGAAAGCAAGTAAGAAAGAAGGGAGAAAATAAAAGAGAGAGTATAGGAGAAGGAAGGCTCCGGCGGGGGCCGCTCGTCCATGAATGGAGGACACTGATCACATCCCCCTCGGACTGATCGGCTCTCTTTCTCCCTTCCTGATTCGCAGGTACGTCTTCACGATAGTCAGCTACTTGATCGGCGTCTTCATATTTGCGACCATCGTCGGCCAGGTCGGCAACGTCATCACCAACAGAAATGCAAATCGGCTCGAGTTCGAGAGACTCCTGGACGGCGCCAAGACTTACATGAGGCACCACAAGGTGCCGGGTGGTATGAAACGCCGAGTGCTGAGGTGGTACGACTACAGTTGGTCGCGCGGCAGGATACAAGGCGGCGGTGATATCAACACCGCTCTCGGTCTACTTCCGGACAAGCTCAAAACTGAGTTGGCGTTACATGTGAATCTCTCAGTGCTGAAGAAAGTTACTATTTTCCAGGTGAGCTTTTCTGCTATGTATGCCAATGTTCTTCCTGCTCTTCCGATAATTCAATTCAACGATTCGAAGTAATAACGAATCAATTACGAGATTCCTGCGCTTGTTCAAGTCACTGGATGATTTCACAAAGACGACGCGAATTCTTTTGCAATTGTTTATCAAAGAACACACTTGGATGGAAGTTATTGGATAAAATTAAAACATTTTCTTTGAATTTGAAGCATTTACTTTTACAAGTAAAGAGTTATATTTACGGTAAAAGTGAGGAAGAAGATACGACAAATAGAAAGCACAACATGCGCATTAGAAATTTACGACGTATAGCTCTGCACTATTGATATTTATAACCGTAACAGTAACATTCATAAGAAAATATTGCACTTTAAAATGCGAAGCAATACTTGGTAGCAAAAGCAAAAGATTATTCATGCCAAGTTTATTGTCAGGATGTGCTTTCGTTTCGTGCTTTTCATTTAAAATAAATGCTTTTGCCTTCTATCTTCTTTATCCTTATTTAGTTATACATTTATTTTACCTAATGATTGAATTTTTATCAATATTTTTCTTCTTTCATGAAAAATTTATATCGACCGGAGCTTTTTTTTTGTCGTACAAGAGAACAAAGCCGAAAGGAAAGATGGAAGAAAGTGAGAGAAAGTTGTTCACTGGGAGATCGCAAAAAGTGAGGATAGAATTGGTTCAATCAGAGCACAGAAATACGAAATATTTTCTCGATCATGTTCGCGTCTGCGGTAAACGGAAAAATGAATAGGCGAAAAAGATACAAATGGTGCGCGCAAAAGAGTTCCCTGGAATTTTATTTGAAGCGAATCGGTTCTTACGCGCCTGGAGTCATAAAAGGACGTGCGAACCTATGCGAATTTTATTATTTGAAAATGTGAATTACACGCGCCGTTTGCTCTCACTTTCCAATAAATACACTATATTTCTACGCCGTAAAAGGAAAAGGGAGTAAAAAATAATCAATTTACATACATATTTAAATATGTACATATATCACTATCGAACGAAATAAGTTTCAAATGTTGGAAGAAAATACAATCTATCTGATAAAATTAATAAATCCACTGACTTTGAAAACATAATGATAACATAGAAATTTTTAAAATAGAACGTTAGAGAATTACAATCAATAATAAATTTGCTCATACACGTGTTTTTATAAATAAAAGGATAAAATATCTTTATATGAAACGGATTAATTTTTATATCTATACATATGTATTTTTGCACAAATTTATCCGCAATTACATTGCAACTGCATTGCTAGGTACTTTCTTTTTTTGCTTCTGAATAGATCCGCATTATTCTATTATAGTAGAATGACATAATTAAAAGTAATGACATTTCGTGTTAGGAATAACGTGTTTTGTATTTTTCTGTTACCTTTATTAATAATTTCGTATAAACATAAATAATCCAATAAACATGTTATAATAAATATTTGTGTAATTAATATAATGAAGAAAATATAAAGAAAAATGTAAAACAAACATTCTAATAAAGAAAAATAGGAGAAAACCATTTATTTCAGAGTAAAACTATAAAATAAAAAGATGTATTCACATTTTATATCAATAATATTTGCTTCCGAAATAATTACTTTTGAATATTATTGCTATTGTGATAATTATCGAGAACCATCTAAACCAGTAGTTTTCAAACTTTTTTAGCTCGTGGCACATTGTTTCGCTGTGTAGGATATTACGACACACAATAATATCGTTTATTGACGATGGATAGTTCGAGCATGGAACAACACAGACCTGGAAGTGTCAGTTTTTATATTGACCAATAGAAATTAGTGTGGCAAGAATTTTATATAGCACAGTAACGCTATCTTGCAAGATGTTTTATTGAGTTGGTTTTTCAACTCCCGATCTCGTTAGATCGCAACATTCTCAATTGACACTTCCAGGTCTGCTTGTTCCAAAATTCGAGGAACTTCTCGATTAGGTGAATCGTAATTCCAAAACCGTCTTTTCTGTAGTCGTGTTTTATATTTTTGTTTGTTATTACTTACAAATTATTCGTTCCTTATTTTTCTGTTTTAATACAAATATTTCTCGCAGCCTGTGTCTCTCGTGGCTGTCCACGCGATTTTGCGATACACTCTTTGAAAAACACTGCTCTAAACTATTGACTTTAGGAAAAAATTTCTAAAAAAGGTTTTTTTACAAAAATTAAATGATTTTTCATGTTTCGATATAAAAAAAATATCCGTTTTAATTTGTAAAATTTAAATTGATCTTAAAATAATCTTGAAAATCGTTATGTATAAATATTTCTAGATCATCACCTTACGCCTCCTTTAAGATTCTGTCACTGTTCTTTAAAACAATTTTTTCTAGAAACAATATTTTTTGAGATAAAAATGTATAACGCTTTATTTTATTCACTCTGTATAAAGTTTCAAATATTTCAACATATTGCAAAAGATATATTTTTTTTATAAAACTTGTGCAACGACGAAAATAGGAATATAAAAAAAGCGGTACAGGAGATAGATTTAAACAGTTAAATTGTCGAAAGAAGAGAGAGAGGAGGAGAGAGAGGGAGAAAAAAGAGGGAGAGGGAGGAAAGAGGGAAGAGAGGGAGCTAAATGGAGTGCACGTGATAAAGCGATATAAAGCAAAGTGCTGTTGCAAACTTTCGAGACTTTACGAGAATTTCTGGCGCGAAGAAATCGAGAGAAATTGCAACAAATCGTAAATGTATATCTTTTATCAAGAAATTCAACTGCATTCAATATGAAAACTCGATGAGAGATCTAATCGAGTCTATTATTAATTAAAACGCGCGACGCAATTTGGTCGTCTTTGTAGTATAACCAAAAAAGAAAAGTAATTAAAGTTATCAAACATACGGTTTAGCATCGGTATCCCCTTCGTGATAGATTCTCGTGGAGAACAAAGGCGGAACTTGGCTGATTTTTTGTGTTTCAACTTTCCCGACATTTCTAATAGTAAATTTATGGTCCAATATTATTTACTCAATAATTTTTCTCAAATTACTGGATAATTTTACTTTCCCAGCTTTCAAAAACAATATATTATAGGATGACCATTAGGATTGTGTTGAAAGTAAATGGTTATTATTTTGCAATAAGTAGGAGAATAAAATGAATGAAACGCCATTTTGTAGAGAAGACTTGTTAAATTTTATTACCATAAGTATTAAACAAATATATACAGGGTGTCCGATAATTGCTGAATCACTTCTCGGATGCAGGTAGAGCGGGTTAAGCCGAGTAGAAAAGTCCTCTATAATTTTTTGATTTTTGTAATAATTAATGAGAAATTAATTTAAAAATATCTGCCAATTCGCGCGAGTTTAAGCGCGCGGCGAGAAAAGATAGCCCACTGTTACGTGGTCGCTAGGATGCGAAGATCTAACATTACACACCGCTCGTATATAGCCGTTGTCATTTGTAAAGCGATCCTCCCAATATTTCGCGGCGCGCTGAGTAACCAAATAACAGTAGGCTGTCTCTTCTCGCCGCGCGCTTAAATTCGCGGAAATTGGCCGATATTTTTTAATTAATTACTCATTAATTATTGCGAAAATTACAAAATGATACAAGACTTTTCTACTCGGTTTAACCTACTCTATCTGCATCCGAGAAGTGATTCAACAATTATTAGACACCCTGTATAATATTTTAATAATTTAAATACACATTATTATAATAAAAAAGGGACAAAAAAGAGGATGTTAAAAAAATCTGATTTTTGGCCCCCTTGCGGAACCTTTGTTAACCGTAAAAAGTTGTTATTTTGGATTCATATAAACAAAAAAACGGTGTTACATCCCAGAAATGCGAGAAACATTGACTTTTTTGAGGTTATATCTAGTTTCCTCGTAAAAGTCTGGATATCTGGATATTACGCTGAAATTTTTCATGAATGAGGTTTATTGCTAAAGTTTTTCATAAACATTTATACTTAAAAAATTTTTTGGGCCGCTGATAACGAATCTATTATCCAAATAGCAAAATGTTAAAATGGCGGATCCACAATGACGTCCTTTACGTGCAGTTTTATTCGTAAGATTACATCACTTAAATATTCTATCAAAATGAATCTGATCGGGGTCAATTCACATTATAAGAATTATTTGTTTCAGCCAGTGAAATTGATGACATGCTTGATCACTTTCAGTCGGATCCAGAGGCAACGGCGAGAACGTGGTGGTCGCTGTTTCTATTTTTCTTTATTTTTTTTTATTTTTATACTTTATTTCATTTTTAACTTTTTTATTTTTAACTTTTTTTTATTTTTATATTTTTTAAAAATTGAACTTTTTTCTATTTGTATTCTACAATTGCGGTTTTTACAAAAATAATGGATAATATAACTACGCTTTTTATTGTATTTTTGCGCACTGATTACAAATATGACTATGCTGATTGGCGACAAGGTCATTTTCAAAGTAAAAACTACTTGAAAATACTCAAAAATTATCGTTTCTTTTAACATTATTTTGATAAATATTGATGTAACAAAAAAATGTTTTAAATAAAAGTTGTAGCTCTTAACAAAATACATCATTTATGTTGTATGCATATTTTGCATAGAACCAATATTTTTTAGTTTTTTTGAGTTTTGATTTTGAAAATGACCTTGTCGCCAATCGGCATGGTCATATTCGTAATCAGCGCGCAAAAATACAATAAAAAACGTAGTTTGAAGCAAATCGGAGGTGTGGGCTTTTCGGAACTTTACCCAAAATAATTAATAATAATTAATTTACAAATAATTAGACTGCTGTTTTTCAATTTTTTAACTTTAGTAGTACATGCACAAAAAAACATTATAAAATCTCTGATGATCTTTTTTGTATAAAATATCAGAATTGAGTAATAATTTACAAGGGCACAAATATATTTGTGTCGACTATCTTGAATCCACCATCTTCAATTTTTTCATTTAATTAATAGATATATAATCAACATGTCTCGAAAAGTTTGATCAGATTTA